CAACCTGGAGAAGGGCAAAACGGTCACGGGGCTGTACTATGTCGAATTATTGGGCTGATTCGCCGCCGAATTGCAGAAAATACGGCCCCATTTGGCGAAGAAAAAAGTGCTCTTCCATCATGACAACGCACCGGCTCACACTTCCGCCCTCGCCAAGGTAAAATTGGTCGAATTGGGCTACGAACTGCTACCCCATCCACCATATTTTCCAGGTTTGGTCCTGTGTGATTTTTTTTTGTTTCCAAACTTGAAAGTCACTTGCTGGAAAGAAATTTGTGTCGAATGAGGAGGTCGTCGCCGCCACAGAGACCTATTTTGCAGACCTCGAGAAAACGTATTTTTCACACGGGTTAAAGAAGTTGGAGCATCGCTGGGTCAAGTGTATCGAGCTAAAAGGATATTATGTTGAGAAATAATTCGCCACTTTTCCAAAATTTTCGTTTTTCTTTTGGAGGCTAAGTACTTATCGGACCACCCTCGTTTTAATGACCACCGCCCCCTCATTAGCATATGCGGGATCTGGCACAAATCCAAAAAACTTATTGATTTTAATGAGCTTTGAAGTCATACAAATGTCACAATCATGTCCATAGATAGTATACTTAATTGCTCCCACATCCCCATGTGACAATATTCCTAATCCTTCCCTTTATTATGAGCAATTAATAGTAAAGTGAAAAATATGCACGTGAGAAAGATCGCACTCCCATAGTATCCAAAAGTTGTTACCTTAGAGGAACATATCCGATCAAATTGGGGAAAGGTGTGATCACGTACCCTGTTGCCTCATTATCACAGGTGTTGTTGTGCACGTGAGAATGGTCGTACACCCAAAGTACCCAAAGATGGTTATCTTAGAGGAACTTGTCCGATCATGTTGGGGATCCTATGATTGTAAAACTAATTTAGAAATCAAAAGAACTCCAATAAAAAAATCTCGCAAGTTAATGGTTCTCAGATGTGGAATATTTTCACACACACATTTTTGGTTTCGCCCCAGAACGTTTAATTTGTAAATTGTTTAAGATTTTCTCCTTTCCACAAATGGGTTGTAAATGTTCTTTAATTAATTCTTCCAGGCCAACCTTTATGTTTGACTTTGCTGTACTGGGTGGCCAAATCTAAGGACAATATGTCTTTATGTAGGCTCCTTCTATTGCCTTTGCCAATTTCTCTACTTCTTGAATACATTGATTGGCTGTTTTCTGTCTCTGTTGGATTAATAGATTCTCCTTTAACTTTATTTTTTAGTTTCTTTATTATTTCTGAAATTGAATTCTCGTTGTTTATTAAGTTTCTGGCATGGCCTTTTAGTTTAGTCTTGATCATAACACAATTTAAAGAGCTGATCACTGCCAGTCAGAACGCCAGAAGAAACCACAGCAGAACGATGAGCGCTAACGAATTCCCTAGCGACATCCGGAAATGCTCGCTCGCCTGAGCGAGCAAAGGCGCGAGTGGGCGCGAAAGGAGAGTCCTAGCCGACCAAAGAAAGGGCACTCCAACAGGCAGAAGCGCTGCAGGATGAAGCAGAGCTACAATATTGGGAGGAACTCCCCCAAATAGACGCGCTGAGGACCACTGCGTTCCAGCTCCGGGGGTTCTCGCGAGTCCTCCGGTAAACCTGGATAGGCTTCTCGCGCTATTAGAGCGCCAGGAGCAAAACATGCTTGATTACGAACCATGGATGGCAGCCCACCAGAGAATGAGGAAAGAGGCGGACTGGTATGCCACCGTGTACCAGGGCCTGTTCCGGAACCCAATTTTCCCGGCCTTTCCCGTCGCCAGGCGGAGGAGCATCCGCCCAGGTCTGGCCTTATTCCCGACCGAGGAGCGGAGACAGCAGACGGCCGACAGAGAGGCGGAGGAGCCGCTCTTCCCGGGAGAGAGTGCAGCTCGGCGATTTTTGATCCTCGGAGATAAAGTACCTGCCCGGTTCTACGTTTTGTCTTTTCCTGGTTGATAAGATTACAAAACCAGTACAAAATTTGAATCGAAAGTCTAAAAATGTCTGAAATAAACAGCCAAATCAACCACTGCGACCTTCAAATAAATGAAGATTTGTTGACTGAGATACGAATCTTTAAGGAAATTTTAAAAGTATCCAAGGAGTCGGGACGGGAATCCGGTAGTATATATTACGATACTACAGAAGAGTTGGACATCCTGAAATGGCCCTTGGTGGATTTGGAGAGCGATAACAACATCGGCTCCCATCTCTTTGATATTGGAAACGTGGAAAATCGATTCACCGAGCTGATGATGGAGATAACAAAGTTTCAACACCAAATTGATCTTCTCGATGCGGAAATCGAAAAAAATCCGCTGTCACGACTGCTACTGGAAGTTAAGGAGATAATTTTTCGAATAAGGGACTCAATTTCAGACTTAGAATGTCTTAAATTTAATGGTGAGGCAGATCAATGTTTGTTGGTCAGTGGTATGTCCCGCAAGTACGATCCTAGCTTATTATTTAATCTTAAAAATTGATATGACGCAATATCATTTAATATTAATAATTGGGAAACTCTATTGGTAAATCTAAAAAAATGTAAAATATATTATGAAAATTATTTGAATGCGATTAATGAATAATTTTCTGAAATAAATAATTTTAAAAATAAAAATAAGCAAATAAGAATTATGTATTAATTTTGGGATATTATTACAAATCAAAGTAATTTCTCTCTGTTGGCTTAATGATTTTCCGAATTTAATTAAAAGAATAAAGTTAACTCAAAAACAAGAAAGGAAGTTAGCTTCGGCAAGCCGAAGCTTGTATACCCTGCATCTATAATTATTAAATTTAAAAACACAAAAAATGATATTCCCTATAGTATAAGATAACACCAGTTTACAAAAAAAATTGATGAAATACGCCTTTTAGGAAACCTTTGTTTTCCGGTAAGATACATCTCCCTGATTAAGAAAAGGGCACTTAAAATTTTTTCTATGGTACCAATTTTTTTTAAAGTGTAAAAATCGTTTTTCGCACTTTTTTATTTTCTAACTTGAGTTGTGATAAACCGAATTCGGAAATCAAAGACTCACTTTACAGGTAATAGAATGTCCTTTAACTTTCTTATACACATCATTGAGTTCCATTCCTTAGTTTAAAAGCTACACTTCGTCAAAGTTGAAAAATTTGGAAAAAATGCAAAAACGCTGGCATAAATTGCTTCTTTAAAAATACACGCCCAAGAACCGAAATTAGTTTTATGTTGTTTTCTTGAAGGCTGAATCTTAACGGAGAATATGCGCCATTGATCACGACAATCCGTTGGTAAATCGATTTTTTACAGATTTTTAAACGGATATACCCAAGTTCAGTATTCGGGAGCAGCGGCCGTTAGACACTATTTTAAAATTTTCAGTGTTGGGGAACGTAAGAATTTGGTGCAAGTTGTTATGCACAACGTCAGTTTCCTTGCTATTTCCTTGCTAAAAATATATGAAAATGATTTCCTCGTACCTGCAATCGCGTACTTTTTAGATTGCCCAGCACTAATAGCAAGGAAACTGACGTTATGCATAACAACTTGCACCAAATTCTTACGTTCCCCAACACTGAAAATTTAAAATAGTGTCTAACGGCATAAGAAAGTTAAAGGGCATTCTATTACCTGTAAAATGAGTCTTTGATGACCGAATTCGGTTTATCACAACTCGAGTTAGAAAATAAAAAAGTGCGAAAAACATTTTTTACACTTAAAAAAAAATTTGTACGATAGAAAAAATTTTAAGTGCCCTTTTCTTAATCAGGGAGATGTATCTTACCGGAAAAGAAAGGTTTCCTGAAAGGCGTATTTCATCAATTTTTTTTTGTAAACTGGTGTAATATGTCAAAAAACACCGAAGCTATAATATGTTTCATATTATTTTCCTACCAATTTTCCGATCGTTCCTATGGCAGCTATATGATATAGTCGTCCGATTTTGATAAAATTAAATTCAGAATTCAGAATTCCTAGCGTAGGAGGTTATATGTTAAAAAACACCGAAGCTATAATTTGTTTCATATTATTTTTCCACCAATTTTCCGATCGTTCCTATGGCAGCTGTATGATATAGTCGTCCGATTTCGATAAAATTTAACTTAAAATTCAAAACGAATTAAAAAATGTTATTTCCAAGCTTAGGAGGTTATATGCTAAAAAACACCAAGGATATAATTTTTTTTAATTTTTTTTCCGATTATTCCTATGGGAGCTATAAGATATAGTTGTCCGATCAGGCTGGTTCCGACTTATATACTACCTGCAAAATATATAAGACTTTTGGGAACGTTTCAGCCCGATAGCTTTAAAACTGAGAGACTAGTTTGCGTAGAAACGGACGGACAGACGGACATGGCTAGATCGACTTGTCTAGTCATGCTGATCAAGAATATATATACTTTATGGGGGCGGAAACGTCTCCTTCACTGCGTTACAAACTTCTGACTGAAATCAATTTACCCTCTGCAAATATACCCTTGCAGAGGGTAAATTGATTTCAGTCAGAATTTTGTATCGCAGTAAAGAAAGAACGCTATAGTCGAGTACCTCGACTATCAGATAGATATGCAAGCAGGAAAGCGAGATTAAAAAGCGCCACCTACCGGCGGTAGACAGATTTACGCGTTTGGGCGTTAGAGTGGGCGTGGCACATTGCTGAAACAAACTTGCGCTGTGTAAGAACCTCAAGAATCTGCAGGCCAAATCTCAATAGCTCTTATAGTTTCCGAGATCTCAGCGTTCATCCGGACAGCCAGACAGACGGACATGGCTAGATCGACTCGGCTAGTAATCCTGATCAAGAATATATAAACTTTATGGGGTCGGAAACGCTTCCTTCTGCCTGTTACATACTTTCCGACGAATCTAGTATACCCTTTTAATCTACGAGTAACGGTTTTTATACCCGTTAACTAAAACTAACTAACTAAATAACTAAAAACACATGCCATTCCCAATTTTTTAAACATAGGAGCCATTGATATTTGTTGCCAGACTCAAACCGAAAAAATCACACTCACATATATTTTTTGACCGAGTTACATATATACATATACTGAAGCAAATAAGTAAAAAAGGCCTAAAACACAATGAGCGATGAACAATTACCGGTACATATAGATGGAATATAATTTTGGTACGACTTCTAACACTTCTAAATAGCATTTACAGCCTTGGGTGTTCGTGGAAAATCATGAAAACTCTTGGGATATGACTGTAGATCGACCAATGTCACCACCACCAGAAGAAATTGTCGAGGCTAGGGAAATGGTTGAAGTCTCGCCTATATTGCCCGAACCAGAAGCTACGATTCCCGTGACTCGCAGGAGCGCCAGGATTGCAAGTCGTGAAAAAACTCGTAGGGAGCTTCAAAATAGATCAAGCGAGCCGAAGGTAAATACTAAAAAAACCAAAAGAGGAAAGTTGCAGAAACCAAGAAAGGCTCGATCCGGTAAACACGTGATTACCTGTCGCGATTGCGGAAATTCTCTGATCTGTCCGGTTCGCACCAAATACTATACTTGCGCCGAGGTCGATGGCCAACTTTTTAAAGTCAAACAGATTAGTGCCAAATTGATTAGTGCCACTGAATTATATTCTCAAGAAATAGGATTGTTCTCGACAATTTTAACCTTCATTGATGTTACAAGAACAAAATTTTACATAAATCGATCTGTGCAAAAAAAAAAGTTTACTTGTTAAATAAATTGTTATTAGTTCAAAATAAATTGCATAGATAAAAAATAATATTCTTTAACTAAAATATAACCCTAAAAAATTTCATGGCTAGCAAGATGTCTAAGATTTCCTGAAGAAAGTTTTTTCTCTTCTTTTAGGGAAAAAAAAACACAAATGGCCTTGTTACCATTTACAGAACATATTTAAAACCAAAAGCCATTTTCATTGGCGGAACCATGAAGCAATTTTGTATATTACCGATATCATTTTCAATGTGAGCGCTCTATCTATCCTAACTTTTGTAACTATTCATGCCCAACTCTCCCCTTATAAAGCGCATCTTATAACAAATATCAAAGAAAATATATTGTAATAAATAAATATTTGATTGGTTTCGATTAAGTTGTTATTTTCTTGCCCAGCACTTATTTTAATCAAAAGCACCGGAAACTTCAAAAGAAATGCGATCTCAAGTGTGTGGGACAATTTCTTGGGCAAAACCATCCGCACATCAAAAGCAGTCAACAAGGAAGGACGCTATAGTCGAGTACCTCGACTATCAGATACCCGTTACTCAGCTAAAAAGAGATATGCAAGTAGCAAAGCGAGATTAAAATGCGCCACCTACCGGCGGTATACAGATTTAAGCGTTATGGGCGATAGAGTGGGCGTGGCAAATTTTTTTTTGGACCAATCGATAGGTATTGACGAGACCAATACATTTCAGTTAAAATTTTTTATTCTCTATCTTTGATAGTTTCCGAGATATCCACGTTCATATTTACGATTTTTTGAAGTTTGTGGGCGGTTTATGGGCGTTAGGGTGGGCGTGGCAAACTTTTTTGGGTCAATCGATAGGTATTGATGAGAACATTACATTTCAGTTAAAATTTTTATTCTAGCATCAAAACTGTAGGAGCCACAGTTTTGGGCGGTTTGTGGGCGTTAGAGTGGGCGTGGCACTCTACTGAAACAAACTTGGGCTGCGTAAGAAGCTCAGGAATCTGCACGCCAAATCTCATAGTTTCCGAGATCTCAGCGTTCATCCGGACAGACAGACGGGCAGACGGACATGGCTAGACCGACTCGGCTAGTGATCCTGATCAAGAATATATATACTTTATGGCGTCGGAAACGCTTCCTTCTGCCTGTTACATACTTTCCGACGAATCTAGTATACCCTTTTACTCTACGAGTAACGGGTGTAATAATAGTGCAATATGGGTAGTATATATGTGCAATATATATAGGTTAATTTTTAAGTGTTATATAAGATCCCCTCCCCCAACAAATTTTATATGTAAAGAACATAAATAATTAAATAAACAAATAACTAAATAAATTAAGCGACAACACAACATAAAGACAAAAGGGTTATTTCGCGTTAAGCCGCCGATCTTTTCCAGGTCCGGTTGGTGACGTAATTCCACGTGCTGTTACGCGCAATCGAATCCTCCACCGAACTCTGGGGAGGATTATGCCCCCTCCTGGAGTAAATTCTCCACGCGCGGGGATGACTTCTCGCAGGCACGACGGGTTCTTCCAGGCAGCTAGCGGCTGGAGGCACCGGACTCGCCGATGACGTAACCTCCGGCCGAGAACCGGGGTTGCTCCAAGAAAGAACTTGGCCAGGCCCTAATTAATGGAACCTGGCCACTATCTTCCTCGTCTCTTCTCGCTGGCCTGAAATGGGATTCCTATTGGACTCTTCTTTTTCCTCCCACTAACCGGAACGCACTCACCGTAGGGTCTTGACCAGTCCGGCTTCAGAGACCGTTCTCCCACGTCGGTGACCGGCGAAAACTTTGCCAGGCGGGCTCACTCCTTTTTATTTATCGGTACTGCGTTCGAAATTTTGGCTGAACTTGTCTAGGCGCTGATGGCCACTTGAACACCACGACCGCGTGAGGAGATTGCTAATTCACCGAACCCGCTGCGACTGCGCGCCGCCGACACCAAATCTGAACTGATCTAGTGTCGGCCATTTTCCTTCCGCCAACCCATGCAGATTACGGACCTCTGTTCCCTGCATTCTGGGTCAATGTCCCCATAACCTACATTTGTCCGGTTTGAATTTGAATTCGCCCCCGAACTGACTCCAATTTACACGTTGCCCATCACTGAAAACCCTAAACCCACTTTGCATCCCTGGTTTTCTCGATTAATCGATTACTGAGGGATGGCGACATAACAAGTTTCGTTCACTATACGGATCGGCGAGAAATGTGAATAAAGTAATATATATATGTGATTAGTTAGTGTGACTCACGGCATTTCCTCCAACGTTGAAGATCGATCTCCGGACGGGATTGGTTGGCTGTAATCTAAAGGGTGGCGATATTTCTCGCCATTTAGAATTTAAAGGGCAAATAAACATTTCTCTCATTTCTCTTAGACGCGCGAACGGTTTAAACCAAACTTGTAACCCGTACCTAATTCATCGTACTTCCTTGAATGCTTTGCAATAACAAATTTCTCATTTAAACCTAAAAAAAATCTAGCTCTTCTTAAATTAAATTAATGCTTCTCGGCGTGCATTATCTCTTTTGACCCGATCGACTTGTTAATTTCTTTTAATTTGTTAAATATAACTATCGCTTTACATAGCGTTGCCACTTGAGGCTTTACGAAAAATTATTGTTTTGTTTTATGGTTTACATATCTTTGATTTCATTGATTTTCTTTTCACATTAATTCTTAAATTCGGTTTTTCAAAGCGCGTTGGTTATATAACAGGGTTAAACACGGTTGGCTAGTGTGCTACGCTAGGTTAAGGCCGTTCACACACGCGGCGCTTTTGCAACATAAACGCGTATAAATCCCTAAATCTGCGGCAGCGATATTCCACTCGGGAACCTCCCAGACGGATACGCGCACCCCTTAAAACTCGGCTGGTGTACGGATGCGCGGCATGATGGGCATCGGGACAGGTTGTATAATTGAATTAAATTGCCATCGGTTCCGCTCTTGGTAAAACTGCACTTTTGGCAGGCACTACATGACCCGTAGATAGGTAGATAGTAGATAGGGGTGCTTCAGGGCACTAGTCTCTCCAAATCATTCCTCGCGGGCCAACCTGACGATTGGGCATTCAAATTAATTACAGATATGGCGACATGTGTGTCTCAAAAAACCATACCTGACGATTGGGCCCCGAGATTTGATTTTGGCCTTCTTGAGGTGGTAAATCCTCCAGTAAATTGGCCGAATCAATAAGATGCGCCTTTGGCGGCAACTTGTGGCAGCACTGGCTGGGTTTTCCACCCGGAATTTTAAAAAAGTACCTGTAGTGAAATTTTGTTGGAGGTGAAATACACCCCCATTTCTAAACAAATGCACTTGCACTTACTTTAAGCTTTATTCGCTGGCTAGCTTTTATAGCTGGCAGCCACACTGAGTGCTAAACACCACTTAGAATACTGGATTCCACTCAAAAAATATATATTTCGGGCTTTTAGTCTTTTAATTGAGAAAAATGAAATTTCAAGCTGTGGGCACGTCCGTTTCTCTTGCTGGTTAAAATAAGAAGAACTTAACCGGAATCGGCTGGATACCAGCGAGGCTTTAGGCGGAAATATATATCATATGACGACCGACAGGTGTCAAAACTAGAACTTTCCAAGACCACCCTGGCTCAGCTGTTCAAAACTATCGAAATATCGAATAGCCGGCACAGGTGGCCACACTAGGTCAAGCTTTGGTTTAAGGGGACCCTGTATAGTAGGCTTTCAGGCTGAACCTAGGTTCGCCAGTCGCTACAGGCGCCGTTACAATACCTTAAATAAAATATACATTTTCTCGCCTGCGTGTTAAATTTAAAGCAGGCACATCATACTTTTAATTTAATGGGATTATTGAGCACCCCAAATCCCAGACACTAACTCATAACATGTACCTAGCAAAATGTAATCAAAGATATCAGACTCTTAAAGACAAGATTTACCTACAATTTAATTTCCCGTCTGCATTCCCAGGAGAACCGTTTAATATTTGCAGTTTGATTTTCTAATATATTGATTTCACAGATTCCCGACGGTTTAACAAGATGGCTGCCAACTCCATCCCATTCAGACACATTTTCTCCTAAATTCAAAACGGGTGTACAACGTCATAGAACTGACTTTCAATTTATCTGTAATGCACAATATATATCCGTCTCTTTCCTTCTAATCAATGTTGAAAAATTTCCAAAACTGGTTTTTGAGTTAATTTTATTCTTTTAATTAAATTTGGAAAAATCAATAAGCCAACAGAGAAAAATATATTATAATTTTGTTTTGTGATAATATCCCACAAATAAAATAAATCTGATTTTTATATTTTCAAACTTATATATTTCAGAAAATTATTCATTAATCGCATTCAAACAATTTTCACAATATATTTAACATTTTTTGAGATCTACCAATAGAGTTTCCCAATTTTAAGATTAAATAATAAGCTAGGATCATCCTCGCGGGACATACCGCTGACCAACTCACATTGATCTGCCTCACCATTAAATTTAAGACATTCTAAGTCTGAAATTGAGTCCCTTATTCGAAAAATTATCTCCTCAACTTCCAGTAGCAGTGGTGACAGCGAATTTTTTTCGATTTCCGCATCGAGAAGATCAATTTGCTGTTGAAACTTTGTTATCTCCATCATCAGCTCGGTGAATGGATTTTCCACGTTTTCAATATCAAAGAGATGCGAGCCGATGTTGCTATCGCTCTCCAAATAGGCCGGAAGGGCCGGGAAAATTGGTTTCCGGAACAGGCCCTGGTACACGGTGGGATACCAGTCCGCCTCTTTCCTCATTTTCTAGTGGGTCGCCATCCATTCTTCATAATTAAGCATGTTTTGCTCCTGGCGATCTACCAGCGCGAGGATCCTATCCTGGTTTACCGGACGATTCGCTAGAACCCCCCGGAGCTGGAACGCAGTGGTCCTCAGCGCGTCTATTAGGGGGAGTTCCTCTTAATACTGTTGCTCTTCTTCATCCTGCAGCGCTTCTGCCTGTTGGCGGGCCCATTCGCAAATTTAAAGAATTTAAAAATAAGTACCTGCTTTGATATTATTGACTGTGTAAAATAATATAATACAAATTAAATTAAATCAAAACGAAACCTAAATAAATTAACA